ACGCAGGGCCGGCGGCCTCAACGACACGGTACCTAGGTCCCCTCCCCCGGGCCTGAACTCCTCTCGGACCGAAATATTTCTCCATATTAAGGAGAAAGACCTTCTCAAAGACCCCTACCCGATGAGGAGCCCGCGCGAACTCGCGGACCGCTCTAAATACTGTCGTTTCCACCGGCAGCCCGGTCACGACACCGAGGAGTGTCGAGAATTAAAAAGGCAAATTGAGGAGCTCATCCGTCGAGGACACCTCGGCTCATACCTCCGACCAGATAAGGAGCTCTCGCCACGCCCGGAGGGCCCCATCGAGCGGCACATAGATGTCATAACCGGCGGGCCAGCGTCCGGAGGGAGTTCCATGGCGGGTGGAAAGGCATACGTCAGGGCCTCCCGGGTTGAAGCTTTCAAACGTGAAAAGGGTCCCGAAGTCACCTTCCCAACCGGGGAACCTGAACCAGCCGAACATGATGACGCGTTGGTAATATCAGCCAGAATTGCCAACGCGCAAGTAAGAAGGATCATGGTCGACACTGGAAGCTCAGCCGATATACTATATTGGGACGCCTTCCAAAAGCTCGGCCTGGTAAAGGAGAACATGAAGCCGATATGCTCAACACTCACGGGGTTCACCGGTGCCTCGATCTCGTCACTAGGGGTCATCACCCTGCCCCTGACTTTGGGAGCCTTCCCGAAGGCAAAAACGGTGATGACCTCCTTTCTGGTGGTCGACCTCCCCACGACATACAATGCCATCCTGGGACGGCCAACCCTCAACAAGACCCGAGCCGTCATCTCAACGTACTATCAAACCATCAAGTTCCCGACCCACGATGGGGTCGGGGAAGTGGCGGGGAACTCCTGGGAGTCTAGGCGCTGCTATTTGACTGCTGTGTCATTAAACAAGAGAGCAAGGATCCAATCCCCACTAGAGGACCCCCGGGAGGGAAAAAAACCGACCCCCCGCCCCGAGCCGAAGGAATCTACCATCGACTTACCACTGGTCGAAGGAAGGCCCGACCAAACAGTCAAAATCGGGTCGGGACTGCCCGAACAAGAACAACGGCAGCTTGTCGGCCTTCTGCAGGCCAACGCCGACATCTTCGCTTGGACGCCGGCTGACCTAGCGGGAGCCCGTCCGGAGGTCGCGCTGCATCACCTGAACATCTCGTCCGACGCTCGCCCGGTGAAACAGAGGCCCAGGCGACAGGCCCCGGATCGACAGCTGGCCATCCGAGAAGAAGTAAACCGGCTTCTGGCGGCCGGTTTCATAGAAGAAGCGAGGTACCCACAGTGGCTCTCCAATGTAGTCCTTGTCAAAAAACCTAATGGAAGCTGGCGGATGTGCGTTGACTACACCAATCTCAACAATGCTTGTCCAAAAGATTGCTACCCCCTGCCGAAGATCGACCAGCTGGTCGACGCCACGGCCGGCCATGCCCGACTCTCGTTTATGGACGCCTTCTCCGGGTACAACCAGATCAGGATGGCACCCGAAGACCAAGAACACACAGCCTTCCTCACCGAGCAGGAGATATATTTTTACAAAGTTATGCCGTTCGGATTGAAAAATGCCGGGGCAACCTACCAGAGGGCGGTGAACAAGATGTTCGCGCACCAGATCGGTCGAAACATGGAGGTATATGTCGACGACATGATCGTAAAGAGCTGAACGGCGGAGGCTCATCCCTCCGACTTGGCAGAAGCATTCGACACTCTGCGGAGGTTCGGCCTGTGCCTCAACCCCGCCAAGTGCGCCTTCGGCGTAACCTCGGGAAAATTCCTCGGATTCATCATACACGAGAGAGGGATTGACGCCAACCCAGAAAAGATACAGGCCATCATCAACATGCAGCCTCCTCGGACGATCAGAGACCTGCAGCACCTTAACGGGAGGCTGGTCGCTTTATCGCGTTTCCTCTCCCGATCGGGAGATCGCTGCCACTCTTTTTTCCAGGCCCTGAAGGATCCGAAGAACTTCCGATGGACGGCGGAATGCGAGAGGGCCTTCGAGCAGATGAAGCTACACCTGGCCAGTCTCCCTCGACTCGCTTCGGTCTCCCCGGGGGAGAAGTTGAGTCTCTACCTTGCCGTCTCCCGGCACGCGGTCAGTTCGGTTCTAGTCAAAGAAATCTCCGGCGATCAACTGCC